ATACCGGCCAATTTATGGCCTTCCAAAAGCCCATTAAACCAAATATCCCGGTGAGACCGATAGCATACAGTATAGGTACCCCACCGCATGAACTGGCCAGGTTTTTGGCCACAACCCCACAAAGACCAAAAAAATCCAACAGTGGCACCCAAGGGGAGTCATCAAGTGGAGCACCCTGAAGTGAAAGATTAAGGAACGAAAATCGACAGGGAACAAATGTGGAACCCCTTCAACCCATCAATTCAAGATTTTGGCAGCCACACTAGCCGACAAGAGCCGTTAATTGACACTCAACACTGATCTAGCTTGTACGGGACTTACTGATTGGTTCCCCGTCTGTCTTATAACCTGGCCAATTTGGTGACCTGTTCACCGGGCCTGATGAAGTTTTTGTGTCAAAAGCAAAACGAAACGTTGTCAAAACTACCGATTCTTTAGCAAGCTCTTATGAAACTATATTAATTCTACTTTCACTGGGGATGCTCTCCGACAGGGATGCTTAAATCCAGCATAGAATTCTCTCTTGAATCCCGTAATATTGACGCTTTTGGAGCAGCGGGATGCGCGGGGATGAGTAAGATTTCCTTAGGAATTCGAAATATATGCCATCTGTTCTGAGTCCCTTAGATCGAACTACGCTGTCCATGTTTACGAGCGTTTTTGTTACCCAGGAACGGTTCGGGAGGGAGCCGTGTTGCACTGGGGATAAAATTTTGTTGCTGCAGAGGTGGTTTAAGTTGGACTACTTCAGAATGCATCTCGCTGCCTTTCACGGTACGCTAGTGAGACTGATAGGCCTCTAGCTACCGGGCGATAGTCGGTCACCGGTTTCGTAGATTAGTGATAATAGCCTCTTTTTAAGCAGTATTTTTGATTGCCTTCATGGAGTGACGGACGAACTACGAGGTAGAAAAGCTCTGTCAGTTTAGCGGCATTTTCCTCAGGATCCATTGTTGCATCGCTTGTGGCCCACATGCATCAATGGGTTTGACGCATGCGAGAATTGACGAACGTCCTCCCCTATTAAGTCCGATTCGACTAGCAGCCGTTCGCCGTTAAACGTTTCCAAGATTGGAAAACACGAGGTCGCGTGGGCAGAATACACGCCTGCATATTGTTCTTTGTAGACTTCAGATACCACTGTTTGGCCACTAGTTGGTCCCCCATCTCTCTCACTCAAGGAGTAGGCGTGTGACCTATTTCTTCGGCGGTGTCTCGTGTGTTTAAATGAGACATCTTATTTTTTCGGGCAATACTCAGTTTCGTGGCTTGTTTTCTTGTTTTCATTTGGCTGATTTCCGATTTACAGAGGTTCCGCTTTTTACGAAATGCCAGCCCCCCATCTGTTTCTGTTTTGGTTATCTTTTTGAAGGGTACTTGCGACCTTCTTTTTAGACGACTCCAAATCCTTTTGGGCATCTTTTGTTTTTTCGACCCCATTGGCTTTTTGGTGTAAATGGTGCATGAGTCTAGTGAATTCTCTTTGACAAAGTTTGGGTACGTCTCCTACACTGGAGCCGCTCGCGATATATATTGTCCAAACAAGGTACGCATTTCTGAGAAGCCTACACGGATGAAGTCCTGAATTTAAGTTTGGAAATCTGGGCTCCTAGCTTAGTAGCAAATCAAATCAGCGGTCAATCAGACCCAACCATCCTGTCTTGCTATTGCAGCCTGCCCTTTCACATGTTCACCGATCTTGCCCACGATTCTGGTTCGGCCCTATGCTTTGAAATTGCGTCCCACTCGGAAACATGTTTTACGCCCAACTTCCCTCCGACACTGACACCAGTTAGTCCACTTATTTTTTAGTGTAAAACATATTTTTGAAACGAAAGTTACTGCCTGCCCCCACCCTAAATTTCTCCATCTTCCCATTTCCACTAGTGCTCTTCGTGACATTGACCATCTACTCAACCGCACAAAAACGGTTTGCATTTATTCAAGTCATTCGTCTCCATCAATAAACTAACCTTACTTTTTCCACAATTTAGGGTTATTTATCAAGTGGCAAACTTGGCTCTTCGGTCTAACCTCTATCCCGTTGTACCGTTGCCCTACACGTTCACGTGTTAGAGGATGATCATGTCGCAGTTAGTGCGCTTCCAAAAAACTGGGAAATAAACCTTTTATTATTAATATTATGGTTATTAGTACAGTTGTCACTGCGCCCCAGTGGAGTCTTAAGTAACATTTGATCAACAGTGTTATTCGTTAATGATAACTAGATCTTGTAGGGACGACAATTGAAGTGCACAGTATCTCTTGGGGTGCGACGACTTGTTGAGTCCAAGTGGTCTTTTAGACCACCTTTATCACCCTCGAGGTAAAGAGTTGACTAGACCCAATGCGCTGGAGCTCCATCCAGGAGGCATTAGAAGCGATAAAATTACCTACCAGCAAGAGATACATGAGGTGCTGGCCGGAGAATTGTTGCTTTAGTGTTTGTAACAGAAACCGGTCATCTTCCGGCGGACTTCATGAGCACCGGTGAACAACTTCAGAAGGAAGAGAATCGCTCCCAAGCAGCGTGATTTGAAGCCATGTTGCTTCACAAAAAGCTGTAGGGGTAGTGTCAGGGAGTACAATCGTAATGAATAAGGCCGCATGCAGGTATAGAGCAACCACAGCAACTCTCCTGCGTTTCGAGTCAGGTTGCAAGCTGGAGTCGCCGTCTATCGAAATTTCCACATCGCAGACTTCTGGTGGGAAACAATGTTGTTTAAGTGTGACTATGGACGGTTTTTCAAGGCAAACTGACTGTCAAATTTCGCGAAGTTTGTTGAGAAGACTCAGGCATCTCCTAGACAATCACTTCAATACCAACTATGCTGCGTCCAAAGATGGTGAGCTGATAGGTGTGCCGTCAGTGAATGCGGTAGATTTAGTAGCTGTACGCCCAGTTTGAGTCCAGGATTTTAAAGGGCATCTGTGGCGTATTTGTCAACCCGTTGCCTCGATATTCCTGAGATTTTCTATTCGTTTGCAGGGGGTTTTACCATCTGAAGGACCGGTTTGAAAGCACCGTTCGCCTTCAAATGATGACTGCGGTGACTGCTGTCTATAGCCCGTGGTATACTGGCTTTTCAATGTCTGGATTTGTTGTTCTTTAAGGATCTGCAATGAACAATGGCCCATTTGATTCCTTGAGCTTTTTGACGACTTGCCTGACAAGTTAGCTTTTGAGATCCTGTAGGCCCGCTTGTACGTTGGATGACATGACTACGGCGTATTCTTTTGGTGGCACTCTCGTGAGGCTCGTTTTTGAAGGGGACCGCACAGTGGGTCCAGCAGAGAGCTCTTCCATTGGGCGATGTTTACGTGGCTTCAACCACAGTCGACCACGGTCACCTTCCTTTTGTGTGAGTGTGGACTCCCAGGTCATCTGAGATCAGCTAGGCCATCTCGATGCACGTAAAATTTCCCGGTGTGTCGTTGTCTAGTTTGTTGTTTTGGCTACTTATGTCATGAGTGGCTACTGTGTTAACAATCAGTAAAACCGATTTTGACGGGCGGGGGGAAGGCAGACTAGTGGTTTTGTGTTTTCAGTGTTTGTGGGGATACCGCAACAGTGCGTGACGTCAAGATCAACGTTTCCGTTTATCCGTAGGTGGAATTCGCTGTTCGTCTCTGGTCAGCTGACCTAATCAAGCCAAGAACTTGTGAACTGCGTGGAGTTCATTGCCACGGAAATAACCGATTATAATTCCACACATGGTTGACACGGTGTCCTCGTGAGGCCTTCCCCATCGTGCGCCACTGTCGTTGTTAGTCTGGGAGTCTGTGGCGGTTTAGTAGTAACCACGAACTGGCGTCGTGACCACTTTAGCCGGCGGGCGAATTGTCGATATCTACATCCCAGTGGGTCATAAGTTTAGGGTCGGTTGATGTATCGCGAAACGGAGGCCTTTTTGACATCTCCGCTCTAGGACCGCGGTGACGCAGTTTTTGGACCTCTTAAAGCGATCCTAATGTGAATGTTTTATCTCTAGGGAGGCTTGTACACACTGATAATCTACTCAAAGATCTACGTGCGGCAGAGACCAGAATCCAGAGGTTCACTCGCTTCCCTTTCCGCGTGGCTGTTCTGCGGGAAGGGGTTCGTATTCAGGCTTTGTTACGATACCACCAATGGGGAAGGGGTCGTATTCAGGCTTTGTTACGATACCACCAATGATTGGCTGTACCAGTTTTGTTGGCGTGGTTGTTCTGGAGAAAAACCTCCAGGTGATCAGCCTAGACACCGTCATGCGGGTGTCCACTGGAGACACCGTGGTGGTCTTCATCGTCGCGCTAGGGAGCTGGATAACCTCCTTGGCAGCCAAAGAACCTGAGATGAGGAGCACTATGTATTCGCTCACGGAGAAATATTTGTAATCAGTTTTCGTCCAGGCTGCTTAGGTCTTCGTATTTTCGCCTTCTAGGGCTTTCGACGGGAGTGCCGGGTTTTCCTCCAGTACCGATTAAAATTGAACATTTCCAATAACACGCCTAATGTACAGCAAGCCGACTTATCTGGACATACCGAAGACCCATACATTCAAAATTTCATTAGGCCTAGCAAGCATAGCATTGCACTCCACGTCTTACGTGCATGAACATCCGTTTCGTCCATATCTGTTGTGGTTCCCTGATAGCTACGTAGGAGAGCAGCCTTTGATGATATAGCTCATGGCTGAAACCAAGTGGGTGGAGAGCATGATGGCAGGGATTTCCACGCAAGGTTATGGTGGGGCCGGTTAACTCTGTAAATAGATTATAAGTCGGCATGGGCGAAAAACAGAACCAACGTCGAATTTGAATAGGCGCATTTGTACTATATACATGCATTGAATGTGTTGGCCAGTTGCAGCCTAGAACATAAGAGGCAAACATTAGGCTGATAACTGCCATGACCAACATTATCTGATTCCGACTACGAACCTAGCGAACTGAATTCAGACATATTGACTGGGAATTAGCGCAAGAGAGTTTGGCGCGCACTTTCGGTTTCTTCGGCATTGGTCTCGGCGATGAGTGAATTGCCCATAAAGGTCAAGATTCTGGAGACACCAGAGGACATTCAGGAGCGTCGAGAACAGGTTCTCTCGAGATACAGTGCGTTTAAAGAAGCAACAGAATACCGACGGCACCGGCTTGAACAAGCTAAACGGTTAGACATGAAAGCTCAGAAAATGATCTCTATTGCAACTTATTAGGTACCAATACTTCAAACGCGATGCAGACGAACTAGAAAGTTGGATGTTGGAGAAGCTTCAAACTTACTCAAATGAGGACTTCAAAGAGCTGAGTAATCTACAGGTAACCGGAAATTTCGTGATGCAAATAAAGGAATAGGCTAAGAAACAAAAACATCAAGCGTTCGAATTGGAAGTGACAGCACATGCCGAGACACTCGCATCTTTAGACAAATCGGGCGAAGATATGATTCTTGAAGAGCACTATGCCTCGGAGATCATTAAGGTTTGTGTTCCTCTTTTTTGGTTTAACTGCCCCCTCAGAATCGGTTGGACGAACTTCATGCACTCTGGGATAAGCTGATGGCAATGCTACGGGAAAAATCTCGCTTACTTAACCTGACCCTTAAGTTCGTACAGTTTCTACGTCAGGCCGATGAGTTGCTGTTTTGGATTCGTGAGAAGGAGACTTTTGTAACCTCTGAAGACTACGGCAGCGACCTGGAACATGTTGAAGCACTCCAATTGAAGTTTGAGGAATTTCTAAAGGTAGGTCCAAGTCGCACTCGCTGACGGTTGTTTTAGGACCTTGAGTACCAGGAGCAACGCGCACAAGACATCTACACCAAGGAAGAAGAGCTTCTAAAAGAGGATTTCCCTGAAGATGCTTTGGTTATTGAGAAGTCGCGTGAAGTGCGTGAGGCATTGAGACGTCTTAACGACTTAGCTGACCACCGGCGTCATAAGCTCTATGAGGCTCATGAGATTCAGCGCTTCTTCAGAGACACCGACAAAGCTATTTCTTGGGTTAACGAGAAGTCGATTCCGCTCTCCATAGAAGACTGTGGACGTGATTTGGCTTCCGTTCAGGCCCTCCAACGCAAACATGAAGCCCTCGAAAGAGACTTGGCGGCTTTGAAGGACAAGCTGGGACAACTGGGGAAAGATGCAGAGGACCTTGCAGAAAAGCATCCCGATTCCAAGAACACAATCCACGAAAAACATCAAACACTTCTTTCGGCCTGGGAGAAACTGAAAGCACAAGCTGACCAACGAAGTGCCAAGTTAGACGAAGCATTCAAGCTTCACCGATTTCTGGCCGACTATCGTGACCTAAGCCTGTGGATGTCAGACATGCAATCTGTCATTGAGGCCGATGAGTTGGCGAAGGACGTTGCTGGTGCAGAGGCACAAGTTGAACGCCATTATGAGCACAAGGCCGAAATTTCCTCCCGCGAAGAAAATTATAACACTTGCCTGCAGGAAGGTCAGCACCTGCTCGAGTTAGGCATAGCAGACAGTGCAGATATCGCCACTAAGTTGTCGGAGCTGGAGCGAGGAAGAGACGCCCTTCTTGCTTTAGCTGAGAGGAAGCGTGTCCAACATGAGCAGTGCATGGATCTGCAAGTATTCTACCGCGATGTAGAACAGGCGGAGTCTTGGATATCAAAGCAAGAGGCACTGTTAGAGAATAAAGATGTGGGGGATTCCTTGGATGCCGTAGAAGCGCTACTACGCAAGCACGAAGACTTCGAAAAGTCCTTGGTTGCACAAGAAGAAAAGATGAATCACATCGATGCATTTGCCTCGAAATTGATAGAGAATAATCATTATGCTTCCCCACAGGTCGCCGAATTACAGAGGAGTCTCAATGACCGCCGGGACTTGCTGAAAGAGAAAGCCGCCGACAGACGCAAACGGCTGGAGGATTCCCACAGATACCAGATGTTTGATCGTGATGCTGACGAAATGCAGTCATGGATAGGGGAGAAATTTCGAAGCGCAACGGATGAAAGTTATAAAGATCCAACAAACCTCCAGACCAAAGTCCAAAAACACCAAAACTTCGAAGCTGAAATCCAGGCAAACCAGTCCCGTGTGGACGGCATTAAAAAGATGGGTCATGACCTCATTCAAGAAGGCCATTTTAACTCACCAGAGATCGGGGCTCGCATAGAGCAGTTGGACGACACATGGTCACGCTTGATCCAGGCCGTTTCGACAAAGAAGACGAATTTGGATCAAGCTAATCGCCAACAACAGTTTGTTCGGAATGTTGAAGATGTTGATTTGTGGTTAGGAGAAGTTGAGGCCCAAATCACATCTGATGAACTTGGTCGTGACCTGAACGGTGTGATTAATGCTCAGAAAAAGCATAACTTATTGGAGGCTGATGTCCAGGCGCATCGTGACAGAATAGATGCCTTGAAGGCACAGGTGGATGCATTCTCCGCTGAGAATCATTTCGACGCGCCAGTGATTGCTCAAAAACATAAGGAGTTGCTTCAGCGCTACATGGCCTTAGCTGAGCCCATCAGACTCCGCCGAGAAAAATTGAAAGACGCATATAAGCTGCATCAGTTCTTCCGTGATGTAGAGGATGAGCAAGACTGGATCCACGAAAAGGAACCGATCGCCGGCTCGACCAATGTTGGTGAGTGATTCTCGTCGCCCGTTTTCTTTATGTTGGTACTAGTTCCCCGCCCATTGACATGTGCGGTTTTGCATACCATACAGTTACTGGCTTCAGTTCACATCAAGTTCCGTGAGTCGGAATCTTGGCTTTTGCTGAGGCCCACAGAACCGATGTTCTTCATATTCCTTGAAGGCTTCGTCTCCAGAGATGTCTCTGCCGGGTTCAGTGAAGACCCATTAGCGTCCTCTAATAGACTTTTTCTGGAACGTTCCCTTTGTATAGTAGTGTAGTTCCACCCATGAAACATTGGTTTGCCTCGTAGAACGCTCTCCACCCAGCCTTGTTTCGGGTGGAGCAGCCGTTTTGCAGATCAGGTTAACTGCTCTTAAAAATTCTCGATTCATCTTTCCGGATGTAGCGAGTACGGAGCGAAATAGTGTGTAAGTTGGTAGTTGGCAACGAATTCGATTTATTGGAGCGGCAGATTAAACTTACCAGGTTAAGGTGGTTGGGGCATGTATTACGCATACCCAACGACAGTGCGCCTAAGCGTTTTCCGTCCTGAGCAATTGTTGGTAAAAGGTTCGCGGAGGACAGGCGATGATATGGCCGTGATTGGATATGAGGTAAAGGTGGTTACAATCGCGCTTGATGCCTTGGGATCCTCGCGCCTCTCGACCAGAACCTACGTGATCCTGCTTGCAGTTGGTTAGAAATCCCGCAGGACATGGCACGCAGCGGGCTCCAGTAGCGCACATGTTGCCATTTGGTGTACCTACTGCCTAGCTCACGTCGTTGTGCACTGGGTTTAGATCGGGTGAAGTTTGCAGTGGACGCTGGATTAATCTTGCAAATTATGCCCTGATTCAATCTGAGGTTTATTTTAATGCTGTCACAAGGTGTAGGTACCTTGTTCCAGATCGTGTCCTTTAAGGTCATGGAACTTCCGCTAAGTTAATGCCTTTTTTATTTCCACTCTTCACTAAGGCTCTACTCATGGTTGTACAGCAATCAAGTGCCACTTGTATCAAAAATTCGTGCTGGCCGGGAACAACTGGTGGTCACTGCATAACTGAAAGTGTCGCTTCCTTTTGTGTGTGTCTCGATCAAACCCCGAGTTGACCACTCAGATTTGATTTCACAGGGATCAGATGATATATCACTTTCTAGTATGACTATCCTTGCCTCTGGTTTGTCGAATCGATCCGGACAAATCCCGACAGAAGTAGTTCTCGATGTTCGGACTGCGTTCAGTCTTGCTGTTAGCTGTTACCACAGACGTACCAATTTTGATATCAGGTGACATTGGGCTTTGCTAAGCTGGGTAGTGGAGCGACGCTGTTCACTGGCATTCAGTCCAGCGAGTACCGTTCAGCCCTGAGGATGAGTTTTACTCATATGCCATTTATACCAGTAGCCTTCAAGGTCATCAGACATCCGGAAAGTAAACTGTAAATGGGTTAACTTTGTCCTGATCGCCTTTAGGTGCATGGACAAATTCAAGTTCGTGCTTTTTTCGAAGCACCGGCACGCATCAGCATCAAGAGAACATGAGGTTCGAATGGCCGTCGACTTTTTGTGAATTCGACGCACTACAGAATTTGGTGGCTCCTGTGTGGAAAGGATCTCGTTTCTTTTTTCTGACACATCGAGTCAGATAACGGAAATTCAGTGATCCCATGACGGTTACTTGTAGAGCGGCAAATATTGGCGAGGGACATCGATAAGCAAAGTATTGTGGGTGCAAACGGTACTTGCCCATTGAATAGTCCGGGTAGGGAGATAAGATGAGATAGCCCACCCTAAGTCTTGGGTTCGAAAGTTTCGCCCACAATGTAGTGGGAAGTCGACGAGTTCTGTTCGGGATCCCGACCCTCATCCTCTGACAATCTGATCTGCTGCGTGGTGACATTTTCTTGTGGGACTCTATCTGGAGCCGATGACAGCCTAACCCATCTGGCTGCTTTGGACTGGCCTAGCCCAAGAGCTCAGGGAATAAGACGTAGATGTCTTGTTCCTGGTACTACTCATAGCAGATGTGCTTGGAATCGCATCATGGTAAGCTCTGCTTGCAGTTCAATTGTACTTGAAAAATGGACACGGACCATGACCAAACGTTTGGTAATCCGAATAATCCTACCTTTTCTACGTCATCCTTTGCTGAGGAAGGAGACTCGCCGCTTCCTCGACTGTAGACGTGTTAATCATCTGAAGCAAACAGCTTCATGCATTCCCTCTGCTATGGCAGAAGACAACAATGGTTATGCTCAGACCACCTGGTAACACGGCTATTCACAGAACAACGCTTTCCGCTCTCAGTTTAACGGCTACCTTTTTACCTTAGAATGGTTGCACCTTGTGGGACGAAGTTCCAGCCAACGTAGCCTGAGGGTTCGTCATAACGTCCAAGCTCGACGATCACGTTAATTTGACAGCGGTGGAATCGGCAGACTGGAAACGAGTTGGCTAACACTAACAAAGGTAATCATGTTTCCTCCGAATACTGCTGCTAGCCACTGATGGATGTGCGCTCCGTTTTTTCAGTCTTCAGATTTAAATTTCATCGCTAGTCAAAGAACCCCAAACTTGCTGATATGTCCGATTATTGGAGGAAGTATCACTAACCTATAGTCACCATCATTTTCTAATCTTCATGGCCTTAATTGGGGGCAAGATGGCTCAAGTGGTTGGAGCGCGAATTTACTGACCGAAATATTCGTGGTTCGAACCCAACCTCTGCCTCTCGACTTCCCCTGTCTAGGCTTGGGCAACCTGGCAGTATCCCAGCCCTCGTGCAACCTTCGGGTGGCATGGCAGCTAGGCACCGAAAGGGTGTTACAGCTGAACGGTTTTCTTGCGATTTTTTATATGGCCTTAATTAGTTTTACATTTCATCAGGCTTTGTTCGCTGTTTTGTACCTATGCTGCAGTTGTCTTATTGTGTTTTATTCTGTTGGCATGCAAATTAAACTAAGTAGATTTAATGTTTTTGCATATGTGATCCTCAGCTCAACAATTTTTTTCTTGGTGACAAGTTTTTAATGGGAGTACTCTTTAATGCTCTCGGTTCACTAGCAGAAGTGAGCGCTGCGATTTTTTGGACCTTCGGTTTCGAATAATTATGTATCATCCTTTGCTAATTCGTCCCTATACAGCTGTTCTCCCAAGGTCTTCTCACCCATGATTCCTGTCTCCGTTTGTGGTGTGTAGCTTCGTCTACTGTCAGTTTTCCACAGCAACTTTTCAAGAGGGTGGTTGTTCACGCAAGTGTTTGATCTCTACGGTCTGCATACAGTTTCCTTTTGAGACATCACGGTGCCAGTCAACAACAGATCACATAGTGGGAACTGTATGATAAGATGGAGAGTAGTGCCGTATCCTCTCTACGTATAGGCTTACGTGCAGGTGACTCAGCCAGTGCTCAAAAACCCGTCCAGAAAGTTGTGGTTTCAAGCCCTCTCTTTAGAAATGAGGTGCGCGCTGCTCCTAAGAGGAATGAAATTTGCCTGCGTCTGTTTGTCTTGGATTTACTTTTCTTGCAGGTGGAACAGACTTGTGAAAATTCCTAATTAGTAATATATGGTAACAGTTCAGTTGTAACACCTTTTCGATTCTTAGCTGCCATGCCACCCGAATGGAACACAAGGACCGGAACGTCGCTAGGTTGCCCAAGCCTAGATAGGAGCCTTCGAAATACCTAGGTCGGATTCGAATACGGACCTTCCGGTTAGTAAGTTCGCGCTGAGCTGTCTCGAGCTCATTCTCCTCGAGTTCATGAGCTTGATTATGAACTCTGGACGGCTGGATAATCACGTTTAAAGTTGGCTCTTGGTTCATTCACGTGTACCGTACAAAAAATCCATTTCGGTGCCTAACTGCCATGACCCCGAAGGAAGCACGAGGGCTGGGGTACTGCCAGGTTACCCAAGCCAAGATAGGGGAAGTCGAGAGTCAGAGGTCGGGTTCGAACTACAGACCTTCCGGTCAGTACGCATTTCCGGCGATCGTGGCAATATAGTGAACGAAAACTTGCACTGTTGGGAGCCTGTAGAATATCCGGCCAGGCTAGTGCAAGGTCCCTATCCCATTTTGTTCCGTTTCTCATTACAGCTTTTTCTGCCGACACCGATGATGAAGCACCGCTATCCTTAACTGGTTTTGCTCTCATTACTGAGGAGAACGATAACTGGCCATATTGAGATAACTTTTTCATCCATAAAATTGAAGCTCGTGATTACGTGACTTAAGGGACGGGATAGTTAATAGGGTATACACTTATGATCTATCCTTAGATGAAAACGTTAGTGCTGTTTGTAAGTTGGGTTGCTGCACCTTAAGGTTTGTATCAGGAGTGGGATGACGTTCAGGTGTTCACATTTTAGTTAAAAACAGTTTGTTGTAGAGTGGATGTCAAGATCGAAGGGGGTTGAGCTAGGTGAAGTTTCATGGCAGCACTGAACACCTAATTTGATTTGGAGCTCGGATGCTTATTTACACATTCCGCTATTGCTTTACTTATGCCTATTCTGCCTGCTATTCGATGGAACACGTCGCCTCTTGTGAAGAGCGGACCTCACATATAGGTAATTCATCTCTACGATTTTTTTTAGCATAAACGCCTTTGATTTAGGAACATCGTTGTAGTTCCGCCGCACAGTTTTCGGTCCGCTAAAGTGGCACTGGTCCCTTTTTGCTCAACAGGTCGCGATCTTATTGGCGTTCAGAACCTCATCAAAAAACATCAGGCAGTTGCCGCTGAGGTCGCTGGCCATCAACCAAGAATACAAGATGTTATCCAGGAGGGAAATGCGATGATCGCCGCAAACCACTATGCTGCCAATGATATCGCGAAACGTATCAAAGAGTTGGAAGAGGACTGGAATCAATTGTGCGACAAAACAGACCGACGCCGACAACTACTGGACGATTCGCTTCAGGCCCAACAATATTTTGCGGACGCAAGTGAAGCGGAGAGTTGGATGCACGAAAAAGAGCCGTTGGTTGGTTCTGTTGAATTCGGCCGCGATGAAGACTCGACGGAGTCGCTACTCAAGAGGCATAATGCGCTTATGGCTGATATCGAAGCCTATGGATCTACCATTGAGGCGCTGGGCAACCAGGCCAGTGCCTGCCGCATGCAGGAGGCGCCCATCACCGGTGTTCACGGTAAGGACGTTGTAATGGCATTGTACGATTATCAGGAGAAATCTCCGAGGGAGGTATCAATGCGCAAGGGTGATATTTTGACTTTGCTTGCGAGCAATCATAAGGATTGGTGGAAAGTCGAAATAAACGACCGACAGGGATTCGTTCCTGCTGCTTATGTGAAGAAAATTGACGCACCCTTGTCCGACAGTCAGGCTGACCTAATGGAGAAGCCTTTAACGGTGGCTTTGCAACAGCAGCGACTTGAAGAGCAGTACCAGTACCTTTTGCAACTCGGCCGTGATCGGCGTGAACGGTTACAAGATTCCGTTGAGGCTTACCATATCGTGCGTGAAGCTAACGACTTACATCAATGGGTCGTTGAGAAGGAATTGGTTGCTGTAACTGAGACCATCGTACCCGGGAAAGTTGAAGAGGTTGAGAGTGCCAGGCGGGCGGTAGATGATCTGGTTGCTGAACAGAAAGAGCGTGAAGCTCGTGTGACGGAGCTGTGTGCCAAGGCGGATAAGCTGAAGCGTGGCGGCCCCACAGAAGCAGTGGAGAAGATTGAGGGTATTATTATGCAACTCCAGAAAAAGTATGAACAACTGGAGCAGGTCACGACAAAAAAGGCAAAAGACTTAGAGGATATCGATGCAGTGCAACGATATCATCGGGAGTGCGATGAAGCCAGGGAATGGGTTGCTGAAAAAGAGGGACGTCTGGACGCAGATGAGTTGGGGACTGACCTCACATCTGTGCAACGTCTCCTGAGAAAACACAAGGCTCTGGAAGGTGACTTAACTGCCCTTGGAGAACGTGTGAAGCAGTTGGACACTAGAGCGGCGGATTTGGTGCAACTTCATCCGCAGGAGGCCGAGGCCATTTGTAACCATCAAGAGGAGCTCAATCAATCTTGGAACGCCTTGGCTTCAAAGGCAGAGGAAAGGAAAGAGAGACTTTTGGACTCGCTTGATCTACAAAAGTTTCTTGCTGATGCTCGGTAAGTTAACCCCAACTCGTTTCATCTACACACTAGTGCCATCTGCTAGGTACGACTTTCAGTTACTCATATCAGTTTTGGCAATACGGCCGCATTTTGTTTGTTACTGGTTTATGCAACAAAATCACTTATGAGGCGTTTGAGATAACTTTCCGGCCGTTGTATTTATTTAGGAGCCTATGTTGACCTCCATGCTATCCCACTATAGAGTTCATGTTGGCTATTTGCAATCACCAACGTGTCATGGTTAAGACCTTTGGAAACAGCAGTGAGGGCGGAATTTCCACCATTTGTGTTTAAGAAGAACACTGAAATTTTAGGGTTGTGCGAGTACGAATAATTAAGATCCACTTCATGAAAATGTTTCTCGTCGTAGGAGCTGAAGAAATATTACAAGTTGCTTCTGGTTGGCTACTCGCCGCTTCCTAGTGCTTCACGCCAAGTTCGTGCTGTCATATTCCATCACATTTTGAATTGTTTCCCTCATCTCCACTCAGCGATTTGACCTCTTGGATTAGTACAATGGATGGCCTGGTATCCTCTGATGAGCTCGCCAAGGATGTCACCAGCGCTGAGGTCTTATTGGAAAGGCATCGTGTAAGTTTCGCTGCTTAGTTCGTTTACATATTGCTTCCAAATATTCCAGGACTACCGCACTGAAGTTGAAGCACGTTCCCCGGCTTTCGCGAATTTGGAATTATTTGGCAAGGAACTTCTTGACCACGGACACTATGCATCTCCGATCGTCCAAGAGCAGTTGCAACAAATCGCAGAAGCACGTTCAGTGCTTGACAAGTAAGTATACTGTCCTGGACTTACACTCTTTTCACTAACCCATTTGTTCCCCTGCTATACGCCAGCCACTTTTCAGACGTTATGTTGAACACCAATACTGTATGACAAGGCTGAAGTTTTCTATCGCCTGCCAGTATCCTATAGAGGTTATAAGATAGCCAATTGGTGTTTTCTCTTCTCCAGCGACTGGCTGAAACGAAACAAAACCCTTGAACAGTGCCTTGAAGAACAGCTGTTCTTACGCGATTGTGAACAGGCCGAAGACTGGATGGCTATCCGCGAAAGCTCGCTCAAAGGAGATGACGTCGACGGGAACAAGGTAGATGCTTTGATAAAAAAGCACGAAGATTTTAACAGAGCGATCAATCTGCAAGAAGCGAAAATACAATCGCTCCAAGTTGGTGCTGAGAAACTGCTTGAAATAGACCACTACGATGCGGATGCCATCAAGGGCAAACTTGAAGAGGTCCTTGGCCGTTGGAAGGAGCTGAAAGATGCTATGATCGAGAATCGTAGTAAACTGCGAGACGTTCAAACCTTCCAAGCATTCATTCGAGATGCTGACGAAATGGAGCTATGGATCACCAAAAAGATGCAGCTAACAATGGATGAATCCTATAAAGATCCGAAAATCAACGTACAGGCGAAACACCAGAAACACCAGGCCTTTGAAGCTGAACTAGCCGCTAACGCAGAACGTTTGCAGAGTATTATCGCCGCCGGACAGAGACTAATCCAGAACGGTAACTTGTCATTTTCAGTGTGCCAATGTGGAGTATACTGTTTTTTGACCGATAAACATATTCGGGGCATGTTGTCTATATCAGATTTCTGGCGTCCGAAATGTANACACCATAAGTGTCTCAAATTAGCAAACGCGACCCGGGCCTTGCAATTCGTGCTTTGACCTCATCTCCCACACTACACGAGTTTATTTGTATATGTTCAGTTCATGGTTGTACGTGGGCTGGGATACTGCCAGGGCGCCCACACCCAGACAGGAGGACGATTAGGGTCTTCAACCAAAGCATTTGGCTCAAAAGCCTAACTGCAAGGCAGCAGTGTTCAGCTGGAAATGCAAGTACATTACCATTTTTTTACGGAACATGATGATGACGATGATGTCTTATTAACGCTTGGTCCCGAACTAGATGACCATCCCATCGCCTCCACTGCTTGACTGTATCTCCCACGCTTCCATTTTCCGGTGACCGAAACTGCAGGAGCTGGAACTAACGTACCCTCGGTACATGGTTTGAATAGAATGACCACCGTCATACTATCTTTCTGCATGCCGCTTGCACTCTCAAAGTGCGAAATCACGCTTCGTAACATGCATTCCTTGAAAATAACCCTAGAATTCAAGGAAAACCACTGGAGGTTGTGGAGAATTTTTCCTACCTCAGTGTGTATGATGAGGTCCGTGTAAGAATCTCAAAGGCCCAAATCGCTCTTGCTAATTTGCGCCACTTGTGGCATCAAAAGGTCATATCGCTAGGGTCTTAAGAGTCGCATGTACCAGGCTACAGTGAGGGCTGTGTTGTATGCTTGCGAAACATGACCTCTACAGACAGATGATATGTAGCGTTTTCAGGTTTTTGACCACGAACACATTAGAAGCGCTGCTGTTTTTTTGATGGCGGTAATGGATTAGTGACGAGGTGATTAGAAAACGGGTATTCGGTCGTACGGCGGGCACTCCAATCGCGGAAAACATCCAGCACCATCAGCTGTGGTGGCTCGGTCATGTGCTATGCATGCCGAAGCACTGTTTACCAAGACGAGTGTTCTCCGTGTTTCCTTCAGAATGGCGTAAACCACGAGCTGGACTTGGCAGAAGGGTGTGAAAGAAATTAGGTGTTGTTTTCCAGAATAGGGTCACTGTGACCCCACCTGTGCTTGGCTGGAGATGCTACCGGAAATGGCGGATGTCAGTGGTGTTCGTGCTGTCAGTTTCTTTCCAGATTGATTGAGCGCTTGAAAGTGTAGGCGCCTCAGAATGCTTGGCATAGACCGGCACTGGGTCTTCTCCCTCCCCCATTCTTTTTCTCTTTTCAGTATAATTAGATAAACCTATGGTTGTACAGCAGTGAAGCATCGATGTCAATACTGATGTGTTTTCTGATGATGATGATGATGATGATGATGATCATGCCGATGACTTAAGCTGGGCTGAACTGAGCGCTTGGTCCACACACCAAGTGACCCTTTCTAATCCCTCATTTATGGTGCACAAAGTTGTGCACTACCAGTTAGCGGGTAATTTTCTGGTTTGTGGGTTTCAGATCAATGCAAGGGACAGGAAGATATTGTACGAGAGCGCATAGAAAAGTTGGCGAATCAATGGGATCACTTAGTGACTCGAGCCAAGGAAAAGTCTGAGAAGCTTCAAGAAGCCAATCGTCAGGCAGCGTATGATGCTGGAATCAAGGATATTGAGTTTTGGCTCGGCGAAATGGAAACAACATTAGCCAGTCCGGACTACGGCAAAGATTCGGCTTCTGTCGACAGTCTAATGTCGAAGCATCAGGTACGTTGATCATTTTTTGCATACTGTTTGCTCCGTGATCTGTGCTTGTAACGAACCTAATATTATTTTACTGAGGTGACACACTAACAGTGTTTTCGCATCCTTTTCAGGTTTTAGTCACTGACATACAAGCACACGAGGATCGAATAAGAGAGCTGGATGCTCGTGCAGATGAATTCATTGGATCGGGCGCTGGTGATGCTGAAACTATTTTAGAACGCAAAAAAATGATAAACGAACGCTATGAGAAGGTAAGATGTTTTCCTAGGAGTACATGAACTGTAAACCTTGGTACTTTACTCTCAGGTTTTGGCAGCATTTGATACCTGAAACTCATACTGGTTACCTTCGGCTAGTGCAATAATTGGCATGAAACCGTTTCAGAATAGCAATGCCCATGCTCAATTTCTGCTTCAACATGATGTAACATGTTCGCCAAAAATTATTGGCCCAACTCAAAACACTTCTGATCTCAACTGACGTTAGCTTAAAACTCAAATCATATTCAGTTTGGGCTGTGGTGTGCCATTCTAGGTCTCCTCAGTATTGCTTGGGGGAGATGGCCCAAGTAGTTAGAGCGCAAATTTACTGACCGGAAGGTCCGTGGTTCGAACCCGACCTCGGCCTCTCGACTATCCTTGTCTAGGCTTGGGCAACCTGGCAGTATCCCAGCCCTCGTGCAACTTTCGGGTGGCATGGCAGTTAGGCACCGAAAGGGTGCGACAGCTGAACGATTTATTTTTTTCAGTATTACTGTGCCATCCCGCCCTGAAGCACCACCGTTCTGCCGGTGGTGAATCTGTGTTCACGTTCAATTTTGTTCGAATTTGTTTCGGAACAACAGTGAGTTTAATAGGAATGGAGCCGACCAGTCTTCATATATTCATTTGAGAAGAGTACCGGGGACCACTGGTTTAACCACAGAGGCATGGGCGTGGCATCCGCCACAACGTGGCTAATGGATTCCAAGATGCTGCAATAATTGGCATGAAACCGTTTCAGAATAGCAATGCCCATGCTCAATTTCTGCTTCAACATGATGTAACATGTTCGCCAAAAATTATTGGCCCAACTCAAAACACTTCTGATCTCAACTGACGTTAGCTTAAAACTCAAATCATATTCAGTTTGGGCTGTGGTGTGCCATTCTAGGTCTCCTCAGTATTGCTTGGGGGAGATGGCCCAAGTAGTTAGAGCGCAAATTTACTGACCGGAAGGTCCGTGGTTCGAACCCGACCTCGGCCTCTCGACTATCCTTGTCTAGGTTTGGGCAACCTGGCAGTATCCCAGCCCTCGTGCAACTTTCGGGTGGCATGGCAGTTAGGCCACCGAAAGGTGCGACAGCTGAACGATTTATTTTTTTCAGTATTACTGTGCCATCCCGCCCTGAAGCACCACCGTTCTGCCGGTGGTGAATCTGTGTTCACGTTCAATTTTGTTCGAATTTGTTTCGGAACAACAGTGAGTTTAATAGGAATGGAGCCGACCAGTCTTCATATATTCATTTGAGAAGAGTACCGGGGACCACTGGTTTAACCACAGAGGCATGGGCGTGGCATCCGCCACAACGTGGCTAATGGATTCCAAGATGCTGTGATTCCTGACTTCGGCACATCAGACACATTCGAGGGTACCAAACNGGCTGAAGTACTTTGTATACGGAGCAACTTTAAGTTCGTTCTGCATGCCTATGAAACTTGAATATTCTGTTCTGGAAACTTCCCCAACCTTCAGCCGTTTGATCACAGGTACTTTCGCGGCACAATAGGAGTCAGCTGGTTGTGGCATGTGCTGAGCGAAATTATGTTTAAGAGTTACTTGGCACCAATGTGGATTCAATAGGGAATTCTAAGGTCGTTGGAACATCTACCAGGCATGCCCAGTTACCGCTCATCAGAGAGAGCGCTGTTCTTCAGTCCGGACCCACGCTAACGAAAGGTTTTAGAACGACAGGCTATGACGTGGCCGCACGAGATGAAGACTTTCACAATCAAACTGGATGTTGTGGAATTTTCTCGCCTTTGTGATTCAGGTTCACGTCATTCCCCGTGCGGGTGGTTAGAAACCCTGCAAGACGTGGCACTTAACCGGTCCCGATTACGTTTACGCCCCCGATTTATTGTACGATTGTTTAGCTGGAGTTAGTCTATCGTTGTGGATGAGTTTCGCACAGTCCATGTAAACCCCACCGTTGGTGTCTTACTACCATCCGGTGCTCACGTGCGCTTACGTCGTTGATGTTCTTAACCCGTTTCCATCCTTTCTCTCAGCTCTTTACCAGGGCTTTCTTCATGGTTATGTGACAGTTGAGCATCATCACTAAGCACGTTTGTATTGCTGTTGATGGTGATGACTTGGACTGATTGAGTAGGGTACCTATCCCTGGTTGTGTTACCTGTGCGTGTTGTACACGGCCAAAAAGTGTCCAGTCGAAGGGTTCTGGGCGCCCTCTTACTGTCCTTAGTTCATCTCATCGTTTGTTTTCGGTTTATTTTGCTAACTTCATTACCCTTGTGTCCTTGGTCCCAGATACGGGCTCAGTCGGAAAATCGTGCTGTAACATTAGGAAAAGCCAAACGGCTGCATGATTTCTACCGCAACATGGATGATGAAGAAGCGTGGATTCGTGAGAAGAAAATACTTGTCAGTTCGGAAGATTACGGTCGTGACCTCATTGGCGTTAGAAACCTGAATAAGAAACATCAACGGATTGAGGCCGAAGTGGCTGCTCACGATCCATCCATCCGTCAGGTGTTGCAGCAAGGCGAGGAGCTTACCGTTGGTACACTTTTGACTGACCCCCAGATCGTACATAACAGGATGGAGGTAAGAAGCATTTGATATAATGTAATCACAAGCGGGTTGCAGCAGCAATCATCTATAAACACATCCGCTTTCGTTAATGTTATGTGATCATACCCAAAATGCCTCGTGGTCGGTGCGGGCGTTGTTTTCAATCTGCTGCGTAGTGAATTCGTAGATTCGTAGAATTCCAGGACAACCATTGTATTGTCTGTTACAGTTGGTTTACATTTTGTAGCCTTTACAAAGATGTGGCACATATTCGACATGAGCACGTCTGCTGTCCGCCCTGTATCACATGTATTCATTTTTTCTGTGCCCAGCAACTGAAAGCTGCCTGGGACGAGCTGCAAACGCTCACCGCCATTCGGCGCCAGAAGCTCGAAGATTCGTTAGCCTATCAAGATTTCCTTGATAGTGTCGAGGAGGAAGAGGCATGGATTCTAGAAAAGCAGCATTTGTTGAGCAGCGAGGATTTCGGGGATACGCTGGCCGCTGTTCAAGGGCTGCAGAAGAAGCATGATGCCTTTGAAGCTGATCTGAAGGTAACTAATTCTCATTGGTTTTCTTTCCCATACCAAACTCGATTATATTTCGACAGACTAACCAAAGACTTCTGCCTTCGTGTTAGATTCACGAGGACAAATGTGCAAATCTGTGCGCGAAAGGAGATGAACTAATTAGTGCTGATAACCACAACCACCAGGCCATCAGGCAGCGGATGGAGGGGCTCCAAGAAAAACTGGGGACTTTGAAACGTGCTGCGTTACGCCGACAAGCCAGTTTGACTGATAATTCTGCTTTCTTGCAATTTATGTGGAAAACGGATGTCGTCGAATCCTGGATCGCCGACCGTGAAACGCAGGTTCGAAGTGAGGATTACGCTCGTGATCTGAGCAGTGTGCAGACGCTGCTGACGAAACATGAAACGTTCGACACTGCTCTTGAATCCTTCCGTACAGAGGGCATCCAAACAATCACCGCCTTGTATGAACAGTTGATTGAAGCGAAACATGCGCAAACACCGACAATTCAACAGCGGTTAGTTGCATTTTTCTGTATTTATCTTCTACTGCCCTTCTTGCGAAATGACGAATTTGGATGAAAGCATCCCAAATGCTCTGTTCTGTTGCTGTCACTTACCTGAAGTGAAGCATCGGTGTTGAACACTGATGTCATGCTGTTGATGATGATGATGATCTAAAGGTTTCACCCATAATTTTATTTAACCGGGAGCTTTCTCTCTACTATGAACTACAGGTAGCTGTTAAATCAAATGCAACGTGAAAGGTGCCAAGCACGAAGAATAGATAATTTTGGATGTACGTGTTTGAGAGGTCTGCGGTTCCGCTTTACCCCGACTACTGTGTAAATCTGGGCAATTTGGCAATATCTCAGGCCTCGTTTTGTACGGATTGAACAGCAGCTACGTGCCAAATGGATACAACCGTATGACTTGATCCTTTTACCAAATGAATAATCTGTGATAACATAACGACCGAGCTCTTTTACTTTTATAGGTCAACCGGTTGGATGCTGTGCTCGAAAAAGAGACTGTATCGGTTTATATCCTCAGTTATTTTTCAGGTTGATTGTTAGTTTGAGTTTTTTTTATTTTATCCTTGTTGCTTTGTTTGTAATCACCAGCTTCACTACGCTAATGGACCGGTGGAACCGTCTCTGCCGCGACTCGGAGCGACGGAAAGCTGATTTACTTCAATTGCAGGAACAATATAAAAAAGTTGAAGAGCTATACTTAGCATTTGCTAAGCGTGCTTCTACATTTAACTCTTGGTTCGAGAACGCTGAAGAGGACTTGACTGACCCAGTCCGGTGCAATTCGCTTGATGAGGTCCGAGCTCTCTGTGAAGCACAGGAACAATTCAAAGCGTCTCTCAAGGCGGCCGAAGTGGATTTCCAGAAACTTGGTCAACTGGATCACGAGATCAAAAGCTATGGGGTGAGTTTTTTGCCCCTTGTAAATTCCAGGGAATGTTAGCCGTGAACGATGTATTGCAGCTTTTAATCGGCGCTGGTAAAGATTATCGGCTCAACGGTACATGCGGAGGCCAAGGCCTTCTGGTCTTATGCTAAAGGTGTGTACAAATGGTAGCTGACTATTCTCACTCAGTGATCTACTCGTTGCCTGCTGGACTCGCTTTAGCAATCGTAAATTAGTTGGAACAATAACTGGTTTCATGTGTTGTTCAGCGGTCCTTAGACTAAAGATTGCTGGGGTCTTTTGTGTTCATAAGTGAACAGTCGTCAGAATTTCATGAAGATTCAATATGGTTGTGTAGAGTTAGCGAAATACCTTCTGGTGATGGTATTAGATCACAGGGCCAAGTGGTAAGTTAACTTATTTTCCAGTTGGCCAACTGTAAATTATAGTACGAAAAACGCAAAATAGGACATTTGACTGTCCTCGATAGCGTTTGGGTTTTGATTAAAAAAAGCATTTCACTTGAGGGTTATTGCTACTGAACCCTTCTGCAAGCAGTTCTAGTACCATTTTTAACCCCGGAAGATTGCGCAGTTGACGTTTTACGCAACGTTTGCCGTCTCTGGGTCCAGGAGGACGTTTTTCGAGGTACAATAAACTATTCTTACAACGAGAATTTCTCTACAGTGTTGTTTTTGGTTGATTTGACCAGTTCCATCCAGAGCGAATATCACCTGGGTGAGACCCATAGTAGACGACGATTTTGACCACGTTTTCTCCACATTGCCTTTAATAACCGCATTTTTCTGACAATAAATAGCAAACATAAATGCGCCGTTAAATTACTGTGCTACTTTATTGAATTAAATTTGTGTGCTGCGTACACAGCATTCTGCTTGTTGGTACGACCACTGGAAGGTCTCACAGGTGTTCACTGCAGAGCGGTAACTTTGAATCAAGCTCAGTTTCTCTCGTTTTGTCTCAATTGACGGTCTAGCATGTAAATCTGAATCAGGCGGACATGGAAATAAAATACCTTATTATATCAGAACATTCTAAATACTATTTGGTTCGATATTCAAATAATCCTCGAGTAACAGCTGTAACAATTGTGTCCATAGATCACTTACATCAGTGTAGACTTGTTCCAAACCAAACACCTAATTTCTGTTTCCACAGGTTGGTATGAACCCATACACCTGGTTCACCATGGAGGCTCTTGTGGAGACGTGGAGAAACCTACAGAAGATTATTTTGGAGCGTGACGCAGAATTGCATCGTGAAACACTCAGACAAACTCAGAATGATCAGTTACGCCAAGAATTCGCTGGCGTGGCAAACAACTTCCATCAATGGCTACAGGTAACGACCATTTGTTGCGTAAATCCAGTTTGTTTGCTGTAGCCTGTACCAGAAATTACGGTTTCGGGTTAGCGTATTTTTATCCATTGAGGATACTGACGGCAGGAAGAATGAAGCAACGCGGGTTTCCGTTCTTGTATTTCGGTGTTGCTTTGGAATTTGCGTGCGTTGGGTGTGCGTCTTTGATGGGCATTTGAGAACTACATCCCGTACCAATGAGATCACAATATGGTACATGGCCTGGGAGTGAATGCAGTGGTAGAAGCACCTACTAAGTTTTATCTGCTCAGCAAAGCATGCTTTCCATGCCCAATTCAGGGCACGCAGACCCAAGCAACAGCCTACAGAAGAGGGTATTGAAGATTGCGAAATGTATGAGTGTTGATGCAATCTGCCTTCCAGGATGCGGTTCATGTGACCATGAGACACTGTGAACTCTTGCCACAGGTGGTCTTTCTGTTAACTATCCAGGTTGCCCTAGTGAGTGGTTGGGAATATCGATGGTGAGCTAGCAGTATAGCCGTTTCTCTCACTCTGATATTTTCGAAGAGGCCTTGATTAAATTAGCTGATACGGTTGTACCGTAACTAAGAGTCGGTGCTTCATGGGCCAATGGGAACGAAGTAAGAGAACTACTGAAATGAAGGAGGATTGAAAAACCATCGGAATGGACCCACCAAATGCAAGTGTCAGAACACAGCACATCACGAATACGAAACGTATCAATTAAACAACATACAAGCCGATTGTTAACAACCAACATTTACCGTAGAAACCATGTAGACGCAAGCACAAGTGGAGGAAATACTAGGGAAATCTCATTGTATGGTGACGAAACGTCTGCAAGCCAATTGCTAGGCTGGTAAACAGATCACTGCCAATGCTCTTGTAGTGTATGACTATTCATGTGCACTGGGGCGTGCACTTCATTTGCAATCTCCTAAGTATTCCGCATCATTCATGTTTCTATTGTTCATATCCACCCCCATTTCGAACTTAGCTACAAATTGTTCCCATAGTTACCTTACCGGCAGTAATATGCCCCTGTTTGCTCAGTGGCTTAATGTTCACCATCCTTCCGTTTTTTTATCGACTTCATTCGTCGTTGCGCGTATTCCCAATATTTTCTCGCGAAATTTTACCAGTTATGAAATGGCGAGGAAAAACTTTACCAGCCATTTTTTCTGTACAGAGTGTCCGAACATCGATGATGGAGGCTAGTGGAACATTGGAAGAACAACTGGAAGCTACTCGTCTCAAAGCTAATGAAGTCAATGCTCGTAAAAACGATTTGCGTGAAATTGAAGAACTGGGTGCTCGGCTTGAGGAGCGACTTATTCTTGATAATCGTTACACAGAACACAGTACGGTAAGTTTGTGCTGTAATATGCATATTCTTGTGTGTTCTTTTCTCCTGAAAGCAAATAGTTCACCGTTCGACATTTTACTTTAATAGGTCGGTCTGAGCCAAGCTTGGGACCAACTGAACCAACTTGCCATGCGAATGCAGCACAATTTGGAACAGCAAATCCAGGCTAGAAACGTCAGTGGTGTGAGTGAGGAAGCGTTGCGTGAATTCTCCATGATGTTTAAACACTTTGACAAAGACAAATCTGGCCGCCTTGATCACCGAGAATTTAAATCCTGCTTGCGTGCTCTGGGTCACGATCTGCACGAAGTTAGCGAAGGCCAGGTTGATGAAGAATTCGAAGCCATCCTGAACGTCGTGGATCCAAATCGTGACGGCTTCGTGACACTCCAGGAATTCATGGCTTTCATGATAAGCCGAGAAACTGAGAACGTTCAATCCAGAGAAGAGGTAGAGGAAGCTTTCCGCGCCTTGACGAAGGAAGGCAAGGAGTATTTGAAGGATGGGAAAGAATACATCACTAAGGAGCAACTCTATTCGGTGAGCTATAATCACTCTAACAACAACCGCATCTTCATTTGATTTTGGCAGCCCAACAGTGTTAGTACTCTTGGCTATCGAACTACCTTCCTGTCACGTCCTACCTCGAGAACATCAGATGAATAATTCCACAGTACCCCCTCGTTTAGTATAGTTTATGAGCACATCGTTAAGCATAGTTCACTTATTTCACTGTCATTTTGAGAATCCTGTGGAATTGTCTTTTTAACTCGTCGGTCCTAATTGCAGAACCTGGATAAGGCAGTGTTCACAGTGCCTTTAGAGACAGGCTTATGTCATCAAGACGTTGGTTAATTTCGAAAACCTCGAGAACGCCTTTATCCTACACCTGACCGCCGTAATTTCAACAACTAATTAAGCTCATTGTTTTAGGCCTCATCTAGTTACTCCTCTGGCAATGCACGTTTGTTCTGGACGAATGCCAGGTGGTAATCCTGAGTCAATTGCGCCAGTACTACTTATTCCAACAGTACCTACAGAGACTTCCTGTTCTGTCATTGAAGTTTGCCCATCATGTCATCATATCATTCATTACAACTCAACTCGCCCTCCCGAATTGGTATTCATCGTAGTTGTAGGCCAGTTTTGCACACAATTGTCCCCAGCTAAAATAACCCATTTCACGCTTAACCTGGTGTTCCTAAGACACTGCACACACTACACAGCAAAAGGGCACATACATAATGGTAGGTTACTTTCTATCTTTTGTCTTCCCACCTGATCTGAGGGTCGCAATGTCGACCAACAGGCTCTCGCGCGCGCTGCGATACGCTAATGCACGATACTTGTCCGAAAGTCTGTCTTTCAGTGTTGGGTCCGCGTATTTGAACTAACTGGATGAACGTTATTTCGGGGGTTTTATGCAATGTAGACCCTGTTTCCTACTTAAACAGTTTGTATACGTCCCGCGTTACTGCCAGGGACGTCTCCCGCACTTTTCAGTTCGATTACCTGCATTGTATTTTTTAATATCACATTATCTGTTTTCAAACTTTGACAGAACCTCTCCAAGGAACAAGCAGACTATTGCTGTCGAGTTATGCCGCCCTACTACACTAAAGGAGGTCAGCCTATTCCAGACGCATACGACTATCATGCGTTTACGAGGCAGCTATTCCAGAACTGATGCCACCGTTCTCCATTCTATCTTGCTTTCGTGCAATCAGACTTTCGTGTTCCTTTCGTGATGCGCAACTCTCGCAACACACACATTCGGAATAGTTTTCCTCGAGGCTTTTCATCAGTCTTTAGTTTCGTCATTCGGCTCGAATATATATTTGTTCTTGCTTTTTCTTTCACTTCTGTCGCTTCAGTTTTTATGAATCCGTAAAATTCCTTCTACCCTAATCAACGCGCTTTAACAAATTTTCCATTTGGTGTTGTTCATCCCCATTATGGTTATGCGTTTACTCCTCTTGAAGTGTTTTCTTGGTGAGGCCTACAGTTACCGTGGCTGATTTGTCCTGTTTTGGATTCCTCGTTATTCGCACTAGTCACCTTGTTTACCACACAACCGTCCTGTTGTGCGATTTTCATGTGTTTCGTGATCGATACGCTACGTTTCTAATCCATTTCAACTCCGACCTGGTGGGATATTTTCTTGTATGGGCGTGTGGTTTGGGTTGTCATAGCTACGGTTGCAGCCCTTCACTCGGTAGCAGCCAGGTAACGTCTATACTTGGGCGTTACCTAGCCAATTACCACTAGGCATCTATGTTGCAAAGCGCAAATCCGAACGTACTCTTTGTTCATATGAGTGGGATTTCAGGTGCATTTTTGGCCGCGGATACTTTCTAGAACGAACCTAACCCGCAGCGATAACAGGTAGTGTACACCAATGGGCCATTTGATGAAACAGAGAGGTCCGCGTCACACGAATTACTGTATCAGGTTACAGTGGACAATCTGGCAGGAAAGTTCTTTGAATATGCCATCGGAGGATTGCACGATGCCGTGATTTCGGGAAACCGTCTCTTGATTAAGAATGAAGCTATTGAGCTTTCTGTATTACTGAGCTAGTTTTTATGTTCAACTGTGCAAAAGGTCCATTGTTACAGTTCTCATCATAGTCAATGCGCTCGTTTTTGACTTCACGCAAAACGTTCTTGAGAGCGGTGTTACAAGAGACTACTCTTCTGACCAGTTTACCTCAGGCATTTCGAATATTCGACCACCAGAGTCCCCGTAGCGATAAAAGCGTGAAGTGCTTGCAACTTGTCCCTAGTAAAATAGTCTAAGCGGGTCGTAGGATGTGATTCATTTTCGCTTTAACAACACGTGGAACTTGTCAGGTTAGACTGATGGACATCTGCTACACATGCGAGCGGTCTCTCTTCACTCCACACCGGGGGTTCTCTGCCTTGTTTTAGGGGGACTGGATAAAGACCGCCTGGTCCTGGTGTCATTCTCACGTTTCAGTGTGGATGTTGTTTATTTTCTCCTAATGGGCGATTAAGACTTACATTTCTATTCGCCTTTTTGCACTATTTCCAGAGGCTGTGTTGCAGGAGGCCAGTTAGACTTCGAAATGTTGAGACGGTCTTTCCAGTCGACGTCTTTTTGAGCAAATTAATTAGCTGCCTTTTTCATTTATCGTTTCGCTGACTTGTTTCCCTAGGGCTAGTCGATCGTATCAGTTTATATGGGGCGCGGCTGTTTCCGGTAGCAAAAGCCTCCATCTCCTGAGCTTTCGATGTCCACCAGAGCACTCGCTCCCATCAGGACTGCTTGGCTTACACTAGTCCGCTGTTGTGTGCTGACTTGTGTTGGATGGGTTTCGCAAAATACTCTGGTGGTGTCCTGACCCGACACTCGTGCATCTGTTCTAATGTCTTTGTGAGGTGTAGGTACCTTGCTATTGATCGTGTTTCTGGCGAAATGGGAATTTGTGCAACAAGGCTCCTCCCCGTTTTACCTTCTTCTGAGGCCGTCAGCTTTATGGCAATTAAGCACCAATTTTGACCACCGGTGTGTTGCCATTTCTGATTATGGAGATGAATTCCCCGGCTCCTTTCGTCGGTTCCTTGGTGTTTCAGCCAAGCTACCAACCCCTCTGAAACAAATAATCTCTGGGGCACGGCTATTACCGTATTATTACGGATGCGAATGGATAGTCAGGCGGCAAACCAGTCGTCGGAGGTTGCCTGTACTATGGTTTCTTGGTATGACATTTGAGTCGAATCGGTGTTGACTACAAATGGGAGCAGAAGATTCACTTCAACGGTGGCTTGCAGTGAGTACGCTGGTGACTCGTGAGTCCGATTGTAGTCCAGCACGTGCACCCCCCCCCAGCATCGTATGGCCGTCCCAAAGAACGCGCCTGCTTTCGAGCACTAAGATACGTTGCGGCTCGAAGCTCATCAAGCCTGGGTAGACGGCGGTTCCTCAGGTCTCCATCAAAGTCTGAATCTGACGTCGCGATGGAAGAATTTCTTCTGCCCTCAAATCCACTTTCTCCTCTTCAGTTGACCTCAAGTCGGTCCTCCGTCTAACGTGATCCACCCAGTTTGGGTGGTTGTGCACCAAGGGGCTCTCAGTTCGAGGACCTTGTTGTTCGGGGCATTGATTCCGAAATATCTTCCGCGGGCATTGCGAGTGAATTCATCGCTGGCGTAGCATCCATTTTTCGTTGTCATACAGTAGTGAAGGCAGCTCGGTGTATTGCAGCATTCCGGTTGCTCCAAACGCGTTTACACAAACAACTGAATGCAGCTCTTGCTCTGGCAACCTGAAAATTTGGTTCAATATCGATTTTCGAGTTTGCAGACGCTGCTGCCTAGCTAGCGGAATCTGGGACAAATCGATAAAAGGAGCGTTTTGGAGACATTTTTATTTAGACCGAAGCTAAACTCTACCGAGATGGAGACTAGCTGTTCACTTCAGTTTCGCGTCCCACTATGCTAGTAAGACGCAGGGATCATTTTGACCATGAAGCCCTTTGAGTTTAAGAGGTGACTCCTTATTTTCATTAGATCGGAACGCTGCCTGGATAACGAAACGCTTCTGTACAGATCAGCACAGACTGAATGAAGTCGGAGCTAAAACTGAACCTTGCCTCATCCCCGAAAAATGCGGTTCCTTAGATGCGTTCTGGCGCTTTCATTGAGTGAATGGATTACTCAATGTTTTCTGGGAAAGCTGAGCTTTTGGAGAACAGTCCACAATGCTTCCCTGTCAAGTGAATCGGGTACTTCAGTGAAGTCCATGAACTAGGATTATAAAGGTTGGGTCGTTATGGCATCCTTCTGCAGCTGGTGCGCCGTTAAGATGAGGTAAAACACACTCTCCTCGTGGTAACCCACAGTATCCTCACGGATATTTTCATCTAGGACTTCAGAGTTCACCCGGTCGCATCAGAGGTAGCAACATTCAGTGTTGACACTGATGTTTCGCTGCCAGTTGATCAGGTTGCGTTCCAAGATTTTGTCTGCAGTGCAGAATAACTAGTTCCTCGATAGTTCATTTTCTGTCGGCTTCCTTCCAAAAGTGATATAATTGTGGCGTCCGTGTGAGACGTCTTCGGTGTCTCGCATTACAGTTTTGGTCTTCTCCCTTTCGAGCACTTCGGCAGGTAGCTCGTTTCCTCCGTCAGTCTATCCGACTTCTGACCTTCGAAGTCTAGCTTTCCTTGGTGGATTTCAAAGTTTCATACATCCAGCGGCTTAAGGCCAATTTGCAAAGTAGTCCAAATCTATTTTGGTTGGGTTGTTTATTTGCTTCCGGAATAGCCAAAATGTATTCGAACCGTTGTGCAGTGAGGATGTTCCGGATGTCCTGAAGGTATTTTATTTTCGGTCTATTGATACCTATAAGTGCTTTCAAGAGTCCCATGTTACGTCGTCGTCCTGTATACGGTTGGATCTTTTGGCTCTTCAATGCAGCGTTCATCCTTCACCACATAGAAGGTCCATATGTTATGTTTGGTCCGCACAATACAAAGCCAGTAGATCTACGTGGTTCAACAGTTTCTGGCGCTTGATGATAATAGCACGTTGTTCCCTGTGATGAGGGAATGTATAACTACATGAATTCGAGATAGCTCAGTGGTTAAGGCTCGGTCAAAAGGTCCGTGTATTGAAAACCACGTTTGCTTCTTGACCCCCATCATGCTTCCTTTGGGCTGCATGACATCCATTCACCGGAAAGATGCCACAGCTGAGCAACTGCCGTTTGTTTTTTCCAAGTGCATCGCTTTCATGAAATCAGTCTAGACTGCTTTTTTTCTTGAATCCAATGATTTCAATTATGGCCGCACTGACATCTAGGATTCTTCCAACGCCAATGGAGCCATTGAATTTGGCGACCTATGAGTGACAGACTCTCAAAACGTTTGTAATACTGAACTATCCAGTAGGTGCCTAGGACTGAGCCCGGTTGACAATAATTGCGTTGCACAGTGAAGCTTCTCTAGGTCGTAAGTAGAAGAGTTCGTTCATAAACATGGAAAATGAAAATAACTGACAATGATTCGATGGAAAATGAATCACTCGAAAGTTGGAGAATAGGTCATTTTCAACCAGTACACGATCAGAGTTCTGTTCTGGTTATCGGCAAGTTGAGTTTGAGCTTCCGTACCAATTGCTTTTGCTCAGCATTTCATTGATGCAGTCGCTGACTCACGTTTGACATTTGGTCGCGTCTCCTGTTGGACAATGAGGACATTACAATTTACAGTTCCACAAAGTTTGCCCATAGCCTTTACTCCCAGTGTGTATCCCTGACAACTGGTCCTACCTCATCGCTTTTGAGCGTAATATCGTGACTGAATTTTAAGGCGGCCCACTCTGACTGGAGATTTATTTGCCACCAGGGTATCACAGTTATCAAAACCAGCTACTTGCGCTGCTACACTTAGGCTTTTCTGACACACCTTTCAGCCACGGTGCCCTGTCGGTGTACCAGTGATATGCAACCCAAAGGAATTTTGTTCAAACGTAGACGGGAATCCAGATTCCAGGTTAGTAGCTGGCAGCATTAGCAAGAAATCGAGCGTGAGTAGTTGAGAACCTTTGGCGTGGGAGCTTTAGAAAAGAGAGGCTGAAGAAGTACAGTGGTAGATTCCACTAGGTACGTTCATCAGTGGATCGTAGTTTCTTTTTCATTCAGGATTTTATGCCGTCTGCCATCCCAGTTGAAAGCGAACAACCAATCGTGTCCATCTCGACTGGATTTGGAAGATGTCCCAATGGGAGAGAGATAAGACACCCCAATCACTGGGTTTGCGTGTCCTGTTGAAATTCCGAACTTCGTATCTTCGGATTCGTTTCAAGGGATGTCGAAATGAAAAAGGTGCAGAATGGGGGCGGCGAGCCTAATATACACAACGCACTGTAGTTCTGGTTCTCAGTTACTGAGAATAATCGGTTTAATAAACCCTTGCGATACCTAAGTGAACCAGGTCCGAAGACTTTGAATGTTGATTAAAATGCACCTTCTACGTGTTTTCTGTGTACATGTGCGAGATGTGTTGTGGGAGATCGCAGCCAATCAAGTAACCCTCACGAGAATTTCGAACCCGGTTCTTCCAAAATCAAGCCGGTAGTGTTGTTTACTGGGCTATTCGGGCCCTCACTGGAAGAGGAAAAC